AGGGCTAGCAAGGAGGAAGAAAGTCCCTTGGGATTCAAGGCAAAAAACAAAGGGAGGAAAAAAAAAGACCCTCTGTGTCAGATGGGCCTCTCTCTCACCCCATATTTTTGCTGCGGGACACAAGTCCCATTTTGGTAGACAGCACTCGGACAGTACTGTTCCACTGCTGAGCATGGTTGGAGATAGTCTTCCCCCATCAGGGGAGCTTTGCAATCAGGAGGAAACTGCAGAGGCAGGGAGATGAGGCTAAGCCTTGCAGAAGCCTCATGGAGTTCCCCCGCAAGGGCTCAAAATCATTATCCATGTTTTACTGCTGGGGTGGCTGAGTCGAAAGAGGTGCAGAGAGCGAGACATGGGGCCTGTGCAGAGAACTGCCTGGGCTCCGGCTTCTGGTACCGCTGCAGACCGCTGGCATCTGCTGCTTTGATCAGACCCAGCTCTGCAGTTGGGTCCCCTTGTGCTCCCACCAGGCAGAGTCTCCGCACTGTGCCCTACTTGCTGGGGATGCTCCCTGAGGGGCTTGCTTTCATCGGCCTCGTGGGTGGCTGGGCCCAGGTTCAGCGTTAGGCGCAGAGATGCAGTGTCCCAGCGTGGGGACAGCCTTTTACCAAACCCTCCGGGCATTCAGAAGCAAATGCCTGCGACCTTGGCTTGCAATGCTTTGCAAGGGGCCCACTAGCAAACAAGCCGGCTCATCCGTGGGGGGTTCCTGGACCGGCGCACCCCCTTTTTCGCACACGGCGAAGGTCATCGATTAGACTCCTGCTGTTGGCAAGTTTGGGAAGCTCTGGGTTGCTGGGCCATCTTGCCGCTTATAATAGGCAGTTGTTCCTGATGCCGTGTCAGATTTTCCCCTGCTTTGAAAACCGAAACCTGTAACATAACGATGCGTTTTGATCTTCGCTTTTCTCCCGTCGTGTTTTATAGGCGGCGCATTGATGTCATAGGAAACTGAGCTAACCCCTGGCTATTCTTACGCCGTTAAGCCTCTGCCTGCTCTGGCGAGCCGGTGTGGCACCAAAGGCATGAGTTGCTCTCACGCTGGGGCCTTCTGGGATTTTTCTTTTTAAGCACTGCTCCATTCCTGAGCGGTGAGGCCATGCTGACACCGGCTCTGGCAGTGACCCCAGGGACCGGCTCGGATACGGAGAAGCGTTTGCTATTCTAGGCATTTCCAGCCTTACAGAATCACGTAAGGCTAGAAGGGCTCTTTGGGGGCCAACCCCTTGCAAGAAGGCAGACCGTGCTCTTCCTGCACGAACCCCACAGCAAAACCAGGGTACCAGTTACCAGCCAGAACGGAGGTTCCCCCCACCCCGGTGTCTGTGCTGCAGCGGGTGGGCAGGGCCAGTGCAGCCAGGGGTGGGCAGACCTCTTCTTCAGCCTTTCTCATGCTGCAGCTGCTGCTTTGCATGCCCCCAAAGTCCCCGTGGCCCGTTGCCGCTGGCGAGGGAATCTGGGACTCCCGGGGTGAGGGAAGTGGCAGTAAATGGGACATTAACCCAACAGGCTTGGAAAACACTGCCTTGGGGCAAAGGACTTACTGACTACACCTCTGCTGTCCAAGGCTTAGTCAACTTCCTCTTGAAAGTCTCCAGTGAAAGGGGGTCCCACCACTTCCCTGGACAGTGTTTTCTACTGCCTCACTGCTGCAGAGTTTTCCCCAGATCTAATCCAAATCCACTTTGCTTTAGCAATGGCAGGTAGCTTCTGCCCGCACGTGCATGAGGCATGTGTGATCGGAGCCCCCCTGGCAGGGAGCATCCGAGGCCAGGGAGCAGTCCTCACCGTGATGTCCCTGAATTGTTTCTTTTGTGTTATCTGACCACCTCATGCCCTTGCTTCCTCTCCCGCCAGGCTCCGTGGGGACCCCGCTGCCAGGGGTGGAGGTGCGCATTGCCGCCGAGACCTCGAGAGAGGAAGGCCCGGCGTATGTCATCCATGCGCAGGGAGATGAGCACGGCACCCAGGTAGCATGCAGCCAGGTTGTCTGTCCCATGGCTTCCAAATGGGGTGGGGGGAAAGGCATTTCTGCTCCCCAGAGCCCGGATAAGAAGCTCATTCCCTGTGACTCCGTGATAGTAATTGGGCTCTTCTTTCTCCTGGGCATTGTGCTATCTTTTAGCACAGCCCAGGGGTCAGATCTGGCCTGCAGAACCCTGTGAACTCTGCCCTTGGGTCTCCGACTAGACCCATCCACTGCTTGTGGTGTGCCTCGGACCAGATCATGTGCCACGCGCAGTGTGCACTGGCCTTGGCCCCGCCCGTGACACGCAGCACACGGGGCCGGTCCAGGGTGTGTGTTGAATGCAGCATCCACAGCCAGACCAGCCTCAGGCCCCGGACTCAATCTGATACCCCTAATTTATTACGTTGCATGGCACTTTTAGGCCTCCACGGTTCTCCAAGGCACCCAGGAGAAGAGAGAGCAAACCCCAGGGAGGGCTTGGGTGGGTGGAAAAATAACCTATTGCAGCTGTTGATGCCACCGTGGGATACAACAGGGCTGAGTGGTGCCCGGCTTTGACGGAGGTAGGTTCCCATCTAGCCAGAGATGGGTCCTGTGATAGGCAGCAGGTTCAAAGGAGACTTTCTCTCCAGGCTGGAGCTGAAGCCCAAGCAGCTGGGGGAGTCCAGCAGGGAAGCGCTGCTGTGCGAGGGGTCTGGGGAGGCCAGGACTGGAACATGGCAAGCTCTTGCTGCACCTCCATGCAATATGCCAGCCTCCAGCCCGCTTGTTCACGTGGGCAGAAACCCACTGCATTCACTCACACCATAGGAAAGCAAGCAACTTTGCATGCCCGGTGCTGAGTTGCAACGTGAAGTCTAACCCGTCTCGGCGGTCCTGTAGTGCTGTTCACCCAGAAGGAACGCGGTGCCCTTTACAGACAGGTCTAAACTACGAAAGTGCTTGCAAGGCAGCCGTGTCTGGGAGGAGCCGTGCTCCCGGGGCCGGGCTGGGACGGGAACAGAGCATGTGCTGTGCTGCTGGCTTGTGCTGGTTTTGCAAAACACCAGTTTTATTTCAAAGCGGGGAATCCGGGCCTCGTTAGCTGATGCTCATTCATTCCAGCCTGAGCTGGCAGAGAACGGAGGCTCACATAACAGATGTCTTTTGCTCTTTCTTGTTGTACGTTGGCTGGGCCAACTCCCAGCGGGCAATAGACGTGCCTCTGGCCAGCGTTCCCTCCCAGTTCCCCGCTGCTGGGTGCTTCCCATGCCCTGCCCTGCAAACTAAATTCAGCCCCTCGGGAAGTGTCAGCTTTGCACAGCAGAGTCTCACCTTTGCTGGCTGCTCACCCTAGCACCGGGCTTGGCCCTGAGCCTCTGGCTGATGGCTGACTCGAGGCCGACTTGCCATCGAAACCTCCCTCGGGCTTCGCTGCACGTTCTGGTGCATTTTGCAAGACGCCCGACTCGGAGCATACGGGGAGGCCGCACGCTTCACCTCTGGGTATTGTCTTGATAATTCCCTGCGTGCGAGCCCAAACAGCTGGCGCTGTCTCGCCCATGCTGCCCCTTTTCCCGGCCTCTAAACCGATTATTTCCACGGCTCAGCGGGAAGTTTCTGGGGGCTGAATCTAGGTCAGCCGAGGAAGGGAACCATCCCATCTGCTCAGGCCTGCCCTTTGCTGGAGCAGGGATTTCCCAGCCCCGCCGCCTGTTGCTAGCAGGGCAGGGCAGGGCAGCATGTGCACCCCGGCAGTCGGCCCTAAACCCGGGCAGAGCCGCAAAGGCTGCTGCCAGGAGAGAGATGCTTGCATGACCCAAAGGCTGCCAGCCGGAGCAGCCCAGCTTTGTATTCGGCGGCCGTGCCGTCCGCCAGGTGCGAGTCACCTGACGCTCTCGGAGGCGCTTGCCGTGCACCTGTTCTGCTGGAGATGGCAGTGGCGTTGGCAGAGGGAGGCTTGAATTAACAATAGGATTTAACTGCTTCATGCCCATGGCTGGGAGCCATGACAGATGCCTGTTCCCAGCCTGGCCAGCTCTACGCATGCTTCGGGGTTTCATAATCGATAGCAGTGTGTTTCAGTGAAACAGGCTTCATATAGAAAAGACCCTGCAGCCCTGATCCTCATCTCACCAGGGCCTTCCAAGGGAAACATGCTTGGCTTGGCTTATAGGCAGTGCCAGGAGGGTTTGCAACTGCTCCATGTCTCTTCAGATGCAAACCTATGCTCCGGGACTCCTGGGTCCCCCACTGGTTTTGCCTACTGACCTGTGCAAGACTCATCCTCCATGCCTCTGCATGTGAAAGCTGTGGGGAGTGAGAAGTTTTTGCCGAGGACTGAGCCTTAGTTAATGTTTGTCCAGACCACAACCAGGCAGGAAAGGATGTCAGGTACGGGCTAAAGATAAAGAGCTGCAGGCAGGCAAGGGTTAAACACCCAAATGCCCAACGCAGAAAAAGAGGTTGGTTCCCATCTTCCTTGGTTTGCTTAAGCCTTGGCACCTGGCTAGAGACACCACTCAGCTTCCACTGGCTCCAGGCGCTTCCCAAGGGTTTGATGTTGAGAGTGGGGAAAAATGACCAAATAACCCGGTGCGGGGGCAAGACCCCGGGGCCTCCAGAACCGGGTGGTGACCACGTGCTGTTGGCTTTCAGGACACGGGCTGTACCGCTCCCGCGGAAAGCACAGCGCACGTCTGCAACAGCACTGGGATAATTGCAGAGCAGCTGCGGCAGCGCGATCTGGGCACGCGTCGAAGGGCGGGCAACCCGCGTAGGCACGGCGTCACGCGGCGTTCACCTGCCAGGGGTTGGTGAGGGAGGCATCAGCGGGGCGGGAAGTGACTCCCTGTGGGAGCTAGGCTGGAAATGGCCTCGTGAGGCTCCCCTGATGCTCCTGCTACTCGCGGCATGTTGTCAGGGCAGGCAGCAAGGCATTGGCACTTCAGCCAGGAGCCTTGTGGCCTCGCTGCCTTGCCTGAGCAGAGGAAAGAGGCTGCGGTAGCCAAGCAAATCATCCGCTGAGCTGTGCAGCGCGCTACGAGGTCGTTGCCCTCGTCCTGCTGGTGCTGACCCAGCTTTCATCTTTGTCCCGTCTGCACGAGGCGTTCCCTGGGCCGTTCGGTGCCAGCCGGCCTATTTCCCAGTGGGTGCCCGGGGGATCGTTTTGTTCATCTTTGCAACGTGGTATCCCCTGCAGAAGGGAGAGGTCAAGCAGGACCTTTGCACAGCTCGTTTCTGGCACACCCTGGAGAGCGACCATCTCCTTAGCTCAGAGTTTGCTCCATCTCTCGCCCCCTCCATGAGTGCTGGACTCCACTCCTACCTCCGCCGTGTCCTGGGAGCTTTGTACCCTCCAGTTCTTTACCTCCCAGTCCTCCTAGCTCTGGGGGGATGAAGTCGG